GGAGGGTGTTATTCAATTTCCATGTGTTTGTGGGAGTTTTGCAGTTTCTTATGTCATTGATCTCCATTTTTATTGCACTATGGTCTGATAATATACAGAGGGTAACTTCATTTCTTTTACATTTACTTAGACATTTCCTATGAGCTAGCATGTGGTCTATTTTGGAGAATGACCCATGTGCAGCTGAAAAGAATGTGTATTCTGATTTTGTGGGGTGCAACACTCTGTAAACATCTGTTAAGTCCATTTGTTCAATAGCTTGGTTCAGTTCTAAAATTTCATTGTTAATTTTTTGTCTAGATGATGTCTAATTGTAATAACAGGGTATTGAAATTCCCCCTCTACAATTGTATTAGAGCTTATTTGGTTTTTCATGTCCATTAATATTTGTTTTGTATAGTTAGAGGCATTCATATTTGGTGCATATATATTTATGATTGTCGTCTCTTCCTCTTGGACTGTTCCCTTCACAAGGATGTAGTGACCACCTTTGTCTCTTTTAATTAGTTTTGGTTTGAAATCTACTTTGTCTGCAAATAAAATTGCTACCCCCACTTTTTTCTGGGTTCCTGTAGCATGGAGAACTGTTTTCCATCCTTTTACTTTCAGTCTATGTATTTCTTTTTGAATTAAGTATGTTTCTTGTATACAGCATATTGTTGGATTTTGCTTCTTAATCCATTCTGTCAGGCTATTTCTTTTGATTGGTGAATTGAGACCATTAACATTGATAGATATTGACTCATCCTTGTCATGATGTTTTACTATTGTTGGCTCTTCTATTTCTTGTTTTTTGTTTTTTTTGTTTTTGTTTTTTCCCTTTCCCTTTAGTTTCTTACCTTGCCTGTTGGCTTCTCTCTGTTGGGCCTCATGGAGTTGTGGTCTTTGTTGTCTTTTTCTAGGATATTGCTTAGGATTGTTTGGAGTGCTGGTTTGGTGTTCATGAAATTTCTCAGGTGTTCTTTGTTGTAGAAGTTTCTAATTTCCCCCATTGATTTTAAAAGATTATTTTGCAGGATACAACAGTCTAGGTTGGAAGTTATTTTTCTTTTAGGGCTTGAAATACTTGACTCCAGGCTCTCCTTGATTTGAGGGTTTGTGTTGAAAAATCTTTTCTCTAACTGCCTGTAGGATTTTGTTCTTCTGTTGGGTTTCTGGGATCTTGATTATTATGTGTCTAGGCATAGATTTTATTTGATCATGGCTAGTTAGAGTTCTATAGGCCTCACTTATCTTATCTGTATGTCCAATTCGCCACCTCTCTCTGGGAAGTTTTCTACTATTACTTCTGTGAACAGTTTTTTTTATGTCAATTGTATTTTCTCCTGTTTTTTTGTGCACTCCTGTCAGTCTTAATGTTATTCTTCCTTGCATCATCTAGCAGCTGCTGGATTGATTTCTCATGGTCCCTTACTGTTTTTGTTTGTTTGTTTGTTTGTTTGTTTTTTTGGTACGGGGGATCGAACTTGGGTCCTTGTGCTTGGAAGGCAAGTGATGGAACCACTAAGCTAAATCCCCGGCCCCTCCCTTACTATTTTTAAGAAATCTCTATTTTCATGGTCCTTAACCACAATGCTGTCTTCTATATCTGATATTCTATCTTCAGCTTCCCTTAATCTGCTATGCATGCTTTCAATAGAGTTTTTAATCTCCTGAATATCTATTTGAATCTGTTTCATGGATTCCATTTCTTTCTTATGCTGGGCATTCATGGCTTCCAGCATGTTTCTGAGCTCATCTGTTTTTTTATCTGTTTCTGTTCTACAGCCTCTAATCATGTCTTTCACTCTGGTCACCATCTCTGTAGTTATCTGGGAGATTATTTCTGCTTTGAATTTTTCTAGAGCCTCACTCATCTGTTTTGTTACTTCCTGTGCTATCAGTTCAGGGTGTCCAGGTGGTTGATTATCAGACTTTTCCACCTCGTTTTCCCT